TGCTTCATTTGGCTTGGGTTGGGGAGTTCAGGTGACACTCTTTCCTTTTTCTTGGATGTGACTTCATTGAAGTTAATATTATGCATTGAAGATGATTGTCAAAATATTTCAGTTGATTTACAAACATCATGTTTCCTTTTTTATGCAACACATCTCTGTAGCTTTTGCCTGCATGCTTTAATGCTGCTTTTATCTATTTATTTATATTTAGGTTGTTGAATTATTGATGTATCAAATATCAATGAGTAACTTTTTGACAATATCCACCTTGTCATGTTTTTAATTCAAAATAAAAATACTCACCTTTATAAAACAAGGTTTATAAGGATTAAATTGATTTTGCGCTAATACTTCTTTCGTTCACTAATAGTTGCACCATATATTTCATGGTGACACAGTCTCTAATGCACTTGTTTGACCATGGATTTCTCTATTTGTACATTAGTAAAAGTTATAAATCTTAGTTTATGAAAATATAAATTGAGATGAAATCGTTAGATATCATGTGACAATTTTTTCCTCATATATTAATGAGAATATAAATAAATAAAATTTAAATTTTGACCATTAAAAGAGAAACGGCGCAACTATTAGTGAACAGAGGAAGTATGAGTATATATTACCAAATATCTGATGAAATTTCGGCATTCTTTTGTGGAAACTTGGGTGGCTGGGTCACCTGGGTGTACCAAACAAAAAAAGGAAAATTGAAAATTGCTCAACACATACATTGAGGGGTTTTACAAGCACTTTGAGGTGATACAGTGTCCTGCATCATTGCGATTCTGCTATTTTGGAAGTTTCATAAAGACGCACGTGAGTCTCTGTGATGAGCTATAGTCTCAGGTCACTAGACAACTCATAAGCTAAATTTTGGAATCTCCTTGATCTCAGCTAAAAAGAGCTTGTTTTGATGATTTTGTATATGGGTGAATTGCCGACTTATTGTCATGCGGCTGGCCTGCTGGTGCATATGATTGGAAAGGATGAAAGCTTATATCTAAATACCCTTGAAGATTAAATAAATCAGTGTTACTTCATTTTGACCTTGTGGGAATATGAATAACTTCCTTTCCTGGTGTTGCCTAGTTGTCTAAAAGCATGGATTTGGGAGAGACGCTGCATTTTTCCATTAATGTGGTGGAAACACGGAAAATTGCCTTCAAAATGCTTCTCTAACGTCTGTAAGACTGAGAAGTTTTTAAAGGCTTCTCAAATGTCTTCCATAACACAGCCTTTCTTCCCCCTTGTCAAAGGCTATAGAAAACTCTTTCAGATACAATGCTTATATTCAAAACCATAATCTCTATAAGTTAAGCATCAATTGATATGAATAGAGTCCCAAGTCTCAGGGTCTTTGCTTGCCTCTGAATAGAGTCCCAAGTCTCAGGGTCTTTGGTTGGGTCCTGGGGGTTTCTTCTTTTGTGCTTTTGTGGGTTCCTTTTACCCAAGTATCTCAGTTTCAGACAATTACAGACTAGGTCTTCTTCCACTCACCAAATGTTTCTAAAAAGCTAACTTCCCTATGAATAAAAGGCATTTCATGTGGACTGCATGTGCCTACTTTTTTGGATTGGCTTAGCAGTATAGAAAATCTGGAGGAAAAAAAGATTTTATAATAGTCCATTTCTTAATTTCTCTGTCTTATGCCTTGGTAGTGAGGAGTTCGGAAGCCTACTTTATAATGGAGTACATTGCAGGCTGGCTTCCTTTCCCTAGGACAGGTTGTTTGCAATTTTTTGAATCTTTGAGTGTGTTTGCTACCTCACGTGGATCATTTGTTTGTGCATTGAATTACATTTGGGAGGCTTAAGGGAAGGAGAACTTTATGGAAGGTAGCTTGTAAGGAAGACTGGATTTTCCAGGGTAAAAGCTCTAGTTGAGAGTCCTTATGAGATAAAGTGGTGTCTATAGCTGTCCTTTGATGGAGTTAGTGCTTAGCTGTTTCACTGATTTGCTACAAGGGTGGCCTTTTTTAAAATTAGCATTAGCATTTTTATGAATCTTGGTCCTGTAAATGATGTACATATTGAAGCCCTGGTCTTGTTTATGGCGTTCTGCTTGCTTTTATGTCATTTATAAATTCTTTTGTTAATCCAAATTCCAATAAATAAATAAAAAAAAAAAATTCTTGGTTTGATAATCTGATTTCATGTTTATCTCTGTGTTATTTAGTCGTTGGAGTATTGGACCACTAAATGTTAGCTCCATTTTTATTGTGATTCATTTTAAACCTTCCCTAACCTTTTTTTTTTCCCCAATTCATGTGGAATTTGAGAGTAAATGAGGTTTGAATGTAAAGGTGATGACGATGGCATTGTTTTACAGGTAGGAGGACAATGTACAGATTTTATAATTGTGTTGAGAACTAGTGAAGCTGTCAAGATGTTTGGAGGAAATATGCACATCTCTTTTGGTGCTGGAATGAGTGCATCTGCTGGTGTTGTGGGAAGGGCTGCAGAAGCAGATATACGTGCTGGAGATGGAGGTGTTGCGGCTTGTTATACATATAGCTGCAGTAAAGGTACATTGCTGCAAAATTTTCAGCCAATTGATTGATACCTCTATTGACTCCCTTGTGTTTTCTAAACATTCACATAATTGGAATAAAATTTATGATGGTGTACGCTTTTCTAGATTTTTTTTTTTTAATGTGAAGGGTCCATATTCTAGACCACAGAGCATATTTGTGCATGTAGAATTGTAGACAGTAACTACTTTGGCAATTGAAAAAGAACCAAGGAATATAATGTAATACCTTGGAGTGATGTCGGGTTGGGTATATGATTTGTGAAATCAGTACAAGTTGTCAGTATTCAGTATCATGAATTTTTTTTAGAGAGGTTGGTTTCCCAGAGGAATCTATGCTCAAAAATCTTTTTATATTTTCTCCCCAGTTACAAGCCACTGCCATCTGGTAGTTTGTGGGGATAGACGAAAAAATAGTACTACTTTACTAGTCTACAACTCAGATGGACCAACTGTCGTTTCAGTTACTCGAATGCCCTATGATCTATAGGCGCCTTTTGATTCACTGATAAAATTATGACACCGGTATAAAGAATTATGTGAAGTTAGAGGTGTTCAGTATTTGGGATAGGATTTTGCGGATTTGAGAGTGGAGTAAGGATTGGGAATAGGTTCTTGCATTGGGAATTCATGACACTGAAAATCTCTTGTTTGGTAGCTGAAGAGAATTACCCTTACTAATCTTCTTCCTTCCTCTTCCTTTTCATTAATGACTATTCTAGTCTTTTCCAATCCCTCACTAAGTCACTAGTCACTACTCCATCCCCACTGTAATAAAATGTTGGGAGTTGAGATAGAGGAAATTATGAGTTTATTTCCCATAAACCTAAAACAAACATTGGAAATTATATTGTTGGGATATAAAGTCTCATCCTCTCCCTTAATTTCCTGCTAACAAACGCCTCAGTTGAGGAAATCGATGACAAAACACACTTTTTGCCATGATATGAAGAAGTTTCAGCTGTCATTGACATTATTGGGAGTGTTGATGCATATGTGTTATGCTGATTATAGACTTATTGTAGCACAATAGAAGGGTATCTTGAGTGATTTGTCATAATTGACAATAGAAGGGTATCTTGAGTGATTTGTCATAATTGAATACTTCTATAGCTGAAAAGAAGTTGCAACAGAGAATATATGGGCAGGAAAACTTGCCTAATATTAACAGGCTTGACTTAAGGTTTCAATCATAGAGTTGCATCCATACATTTGTATGTTCTTAAATTTCCATTTCTTGATTCACTAAGTTGAACATTTCTATCTGAAAGCATTTCCTTTACTGGCTTAAGTGTAATAGTTGACCCGCTGCTGAAGAACTTCTAACAATCCTTTAGTCATTACTTAGCTCTAATGAGTAGTCTAATGGCTGATTTACATCAATGATTGTACAGGTGCATTTGTTGGTTGTTCCCTTGAGAGTAATATAGTTACTGCTCGTCATAAAGAAAATTCCAGATTTTATGGCAATTCATCTCTGAAGGCGTCTGACATTTTGCTTTCATTGCCACGACCTCCTGCTGCCGCTATCCTCTATGATGCACTATCAGATTTATATCAGAAATTGGAGAGATGAAGGTCTGAAACTTTTGTATATATAATATTGGCTTCGTCCCAAGCTTGGGTTTCAACTGTAGATTCTCTCAGCCTCCTAATTCTTCAAGTTACGCCATCTCATTGATTTATTATTCTACAAAAGGCACTTAATGGCGTATACAATTTGTACAGCAAAATTTACAAACATTGATTTATGTTTACGGTAAATAATCATTAAAATTAGAAAGTTCTTTGAAACAATCTGATTGTAAATATTAACATTGTTGAAAACAAAAATTGTTGAAAACTTGGAATTGCCTAAGCTTTGCGTCTTCCGTTGCCTCAGTGGCCTCATGAAAACTTGAAATTGCCTAAGCTTTGTGTTTTCCGTTGCCTCAGTGGCCTCGTGTTTAAGCCACTGATGTTGACTGTTTGGAGGCAAGAGCTTCAAAGAGGTATCGCTGTACGTTTGATGGTCTTGTTAGAAGGCCGGGTAAATCAATGTACATAGTACTCAATAGTAGCATGCTACCAGTAAACCATAGCGGATGCATGATTATGCATTACAAAGATATATCCATAAAAATCTGGAGGAAAAGGGATCATTATAGCATGAGAAGCTCAAAGTTAGAACATCTATGACAGGTTCAACTTCCAATCACTGTATTTAAAACGAGTTTCAATTTCCAAATGCAAACCTAACACGAGATTGCAGATTGTAACAATGAAACCAAGTCAGTACAAAACATTAGAGTAAAACATCTGCGAGCAACGCTGCGCAAGTGATGCATGATTTACTGACTTCTCTAAAAATTAATAAGCTACCACACAGCTAATTGACATTAATCAGTATAAATTTGAATCTTCCATTATAAACCATGTCAGGTTTTACTTAATTTAGATCTAGCTGCATCACTTCCCAGTGTCTGAATCTCTTACCTGCAAGAAATTTCAATGAGCCAGGCATATCAGCCAAATGTGCAGCCTATTTGTAGTGAGTTATGCTATTCAACTCAAAAGTACCTTGTCCTGGAGGATCCAAGTGTGAGCTCAAGATCGTCGGATCCACAATCTTCATGAATGATCTCTCCTTCCCATGCTTTGAGAAGTCCCTTGGCATTACTCCTGAGAGCAAACTCATCTGACATTCTAGACACTGGAACACCAGCACTGTGATCACATCCTGCAGGAATAGCAGGAGAACAAGTTCCACTTTGCAGAGGCGACAGCATTCGAGAAGAACCTCCCCCAACCACAGCATTTGCTGTAAAGAATCCACCAAATGGATGATGAGAAGAGACAAGGTTGAATGTCGGAGAGGTAGGAGATGAGCATAAAGCAGGGGTTACAGGAGCACTAATGGAATTTCCATGAATGTAGAGATGAGGTAGCTTGGAAGACGAGGGTGGTGGTGACAGGTTCTTAAGCCATGGAATCAGAGAAGTCCCTTGGAGAAAAGTTGTGTTAGCGGTGTAAGAAGATGAAGCAAGGCTTGCTAAAGAGGAGGATGCAGGGCTCAGGTGGAAAGAAGAACTAGGGCTCGGTTGGTATGATGAGCATGGACTCGCTGATATAGACCTGCCTGTGATGCCCAAGGGTTTGATAGGCTTGCACCCCTGCATTAGAAGAACAAATATTGGACCCATGAAAGTGTAAGCTAAATAAGCATAACAATACAGAATGTTTATGATGATTTTTGCTTTTTGACGAATTTTTTCATGCTTACTACTGTTGTGTATTAGCATGTTTCCAGTCTTCCAGAACAGTGTCTTGTGTATATCAGGGGCTCAGGGCAATAAGGCTTAATATGGATGGGATTGGATTGTTTAAGTCGAATTGATTTTAGCAACATTAGAATTTCCAAATGTTTCTATGGGCAACCAAATATATATATATATATATATGTCCAATGTAAAGAATGGAGCAAAGGAGGACGTCTAGTCTGGCATCACGTAACTACACACTCACGCTATCACGCCTTCAAGCTACACCATCCTTCCTCATTTTTTCCCTTTTCATAAAAATACATAACTCATCATATAGTCACGTACTCACACCCTCACGCACTCGCGCACTCACACCTACATCATTTATTTTATCGTGCCTATGGCCAAGTACCCAAAATTTATTTTAGTCCACCTTAGAATTTATTTAAATTCACCAAAAGAATCAAATAATAAATTACTAATTTAAAGTCATAATTGTAAATTATACATACTTTATATCACCTCCGTTTCACATTATGAGATATAAAAAATTGGATCACTGCATATGAAACGAACGCAATACATACTTTCTTACATATACTTATCTGAGCACTAACTCTCATCCACGATGAATCAAATTACCCTAAGATATTCTCACCAAACAAGTAAAATCATACTACGTACTCAAATTCCAAAGATAAATCAAGTACAACGATCTCCACTCTTTTAAAAATAAATCTTAATAAAAATGATCATTAATTCCTTATGCAACAAAATGTACGAAAAAGTAGTCAGAAAAAACGCAGTAAAATTGACCCTTAAATTATTGAATCCCACGATTTCTGACAAAAGCCGAATTTGCATCACAATAGTGGTCACTGCTCAGAGAATCACAGTAGCTGAGCAAAGCACTGCTACACTTCTACTACTAAGTCCTATCATTTGACATATTTGCCCCTACTCCTGAATCTCACAAAAGGTCAAATCATTTTGCAAAAAGGGTATTTTGGTCATTTTCCAATGAAAATTTTGAGGTCTAATCATATCCCAACCATTTTCTCCCACCTTTTTTTTTTGGGTCAAAATTACATAAAACAATTTTTATAATTCATTCTTTTTATTTTAAAAAAAGCCCTTGATTAATTAAGATGAACATTAATTAATACTAGTAATTCAAAACACATGATATGAATATATGATGCATGGTTTATAATAATTAATGGAATAAGATATGGTCAAATGGAAATTATGGTCCATGGTGCATTATTATAACAGAAGTCCAAGAAGAATTGATGATCATTATTTTTTACCATTTTGGCGAAAGGAGATCATATGAGTTGTAACATAAAAACAGAAACAAATACTGAAAAATCAATAATTGCCAAGATATTACCAAGTCCTTTATACCTCTTCTACATGTGGGAGTTAAACAGTGATACTAATTCCATTGATTGTGGTTCAAATCTTCATGGTGACAAACTACGTACATAATTCACAACCTATCATTACATAATGGACTAAATATAAGTTTATAAGTTGTAACAAAGTATATTGTAGATACCGACAAATTCAAGTAGTTGTATATAAATACTCCATCCATCCTTTACTTAAATCGTGTAACTTTATAATTAGTCAAAATCACAAATAATTAATTACATGAATCACTCATTAATTTTTTCTCATGGTGTCCAGTTTATTGTGGTAATGCTGCATTTTGCCAAGCCCCCCAGCATCATTACAAATTTATCATAACAAATTTATTGAGAATTCAATACTTTTAACCTTGATTACCTTGAATTTTAAGATCGATGACATAAAATAATATTCGTATGAAACTAATTTAACTTAAATAAATAATTAATATCAATCCTCCCTTCACAACTCATATTATCATTTCCCACTCATCCACAAACATTTTATTTCGTATACTCCCTCTGTTCTGCAAAGATTTACGCAACGAATGTATGAATAAGAAAAGATCGAAAGAGACAAACCTTTCGATAAGTAGTGCCATCAGGTTCAACAATCCAGCCAGCTTCATGACAAAGAGCTCTAAGAACTTGATTATTGTCACAATGCTTGGGTAGTTTATAACTCCCGTACATTCGAAGCCCCGAGAAGATTTTAGCAGCAATGGCTCTACGCTTTCGCTCTCTTCTCTTGTTGTTCTCTCTCTCTTTCCATGACGGCGTCCTAGTCGTTGTCGAAGCCGTTCCGCCACTTCCTGGTGCCATCGTATTGAGATCTTCTTTATGTATAAATGGGTTTGAATAAAAATAACAATGTTGATGATGATGATGATGATGATGATGAGGGTGTGTAGAATTGTTGGTAATGGAGTTTTAGAAATTCAGAGTTTGTGTGGAAATTTTTATAAGGAGGTATAAGTAATACTTGTAAGACAAACAAATAAAAGTAGTGGTAAATTGGTAATTGGTAAATAATATAGTGTAGGAATTTGTAGGAGAAAAGGGGTAATGACGTTTGCTGGAAGTGATTGTGACACTGCTATAACAAACCTAAACCTAAACTCTATGATGACTTTAGGCACTTTGCCTATGTTGGGTTTTACAACAAAATTTTACCATATCAGCGGGTCTTGTGTTCAAATGGCTCATATGTGTTTAAAATAAGCCATGAAATAAATGTGTCATACGAGACTTGTATCGGTCTTTTAAAAACGAAACTCATGCACAACCTAACTCGCTTGCTAGGCCAATCAAGCCAATGCAATTAGCCCCCCAATTTTTATTAATTTAAATTGGTCAAAAAGAAGTGTGTCGACACCCAGTTTTGCTCGTCGTCCTCTTGCCGAGTTCGTTTTATGGGTTAAAGTAAAACATAAAAAATGAGAATTATCCTTTCTCCTCCATCCATCTTCTCTCATCTCATCACTAGTGAATTTTGGACGAGTTTTTGATCCATTGGTTTTTACTGGTCAAAAAACCTAATTTATGTTATTACGTGGTTTATTTCTATAGTTTTATGGGATTATCTAGATTTTTAATAGGAAAAATAGAAATTAAAAATCCAACCTTTGCACTTTCTTCTCTAAAAAATCCAACCTTAAGTTTATTTCATAAAAATCTAACTTTTATACCTCATGTTCACCAATAGATCCATTTGACCTTTAACCTATTAAACAGGTAAAAAAGATTTTTTATTTTTTATTTTTTATTCTCTCACTTTCCCTTCTCACTCCTCCTCTTTTTCTCTCCTCAAAAACTGAAACAACACCGCAGCAGCACGCACCTCCACCACCACCACCTCTGCCACCACTTACCCCACCCTTCCCAAACCCAGAACCGAAACCCTTTTCCCACTCCTACCTAGGCTCGAAACCACAAGCCCCACCTAGCCGAAATCATCACTTCTACCTAGGCTCGGCGTCTTCTCCACCTTATCCTCCAAAACCACCACAATCCACCCTCTAAAACCACCCAAAATACAACCTCTACCTTCCTCAACCCCAAACTCCCACCTTAAAACCACCATCCCCACTTCCTCTGACATTGAATTCGAAGAAAAACCCTCTTCCTCGACTCCCTTAGCTTAGACTCACTCTCCCTCCTCCCTCCTCCCTCCTTCCGCCATTGCAACAACTTCTTCTCTCTCCGACCTCTAAACCATATTAACGTTTTGATGGGGATCATAAACAGATGAAAAACTATTCTCCTCTATTATACTTTCATTTGATGGGGAGTAAATATCATGAGTCAAATTAAAGTTTTCCTCCATTGAAATACAATCCTCAAAACCAATAACATTATCATCATGTATCACATGTTGATTAGTATATTGTTGCATAGCAAGTAATTCAATAGATTTTGAAATACGTTGGCAATCATGCATCAATTCGTTAAGTTCTTCATGCCGATTAACAATAAACTCATTCATCATATCAAAAAGTTCCCTACACTTCGATGAATTGAGTTGAGTATAATTATCCACTTGGGGTTGGTAAGAGGAATTAAAAACAAACATATAAGACTCACTAGGGTAATTAGAAATTTCATAGGCATTCATGCATATATTTTGTGAATTTTGATAATCATATGATGCATCAAACATAAAAACATTAGCATTACAATACCCGCAATTATAATCATATTGCCCTTGAAAATTACAATCATTCATCCCATATGAATTATAATCGTACCACTCCATGACAATACAATAAGAGTAAAACAAAAAGGAAGTATATACAAAATTAAATATATATATATATACAAGTTTAGTTCAACCAAAAAATAAAAGTCAAATCAAATTAAGTCGTCTCCCCGACAACGACACCAAAATTTGATGAGTGTCGTACACCTATCAAAAATAAATTCCTAACAAAACCAACTAACAATGTAGTAAGGTAAGTAGGGTCGAATCCACAGACAGATGGCTATTCAATCTAACTTCTAAGGAAGTGGAGAAACTAATCTATGTTACGAAATTGAGTAGTAATATAGTCTAAATTGAAATAAGAATAAAAATCAATAAAAAGGCCTAGGGTTATGGTTCACCATGTTTATAGTTATAAATCTATGAAAATACCAATAACAATTCAATTAATCAATTAACTAGAGCAATTGGTGAGCCTACAGTCGGGTCTTAACGCTCTCAATTCAACATATGTAGTTCGGTCGCATATTCAGAATTGCTAATTATAGGTAAGTCTCTAAAAGTAAGATCTTTCGATTCAAACTCTTATTAATAATAATTAATCAAACAATTGATCAGGTTGCAAGATTAACAATAAAACACTATCATTTAGAGAAATCAATAATCAAAATATCAATAATATCAATCAAGATTCATTATATAAACATGGATTCCCAAACCCTAGAAATAAACTACTCAAGCATGAAATAAATAAATAAACCTATATCTAATAAAGAAAACATAATTAAAAGAGAGAAAAGAAAATACCTTAATGAATAAAATTAATAAACTCAAGAACAATCCATGGAGAATTCCTGGAGTTGCCCAGGAGAAATTAGGGTTCAAGAGAAAACTCACAATTCACAAACGTCAAATAAAAGGTATAAAAGGCATAATGGAAAAATAATATCCTTTGAGTATTTATAAAAACCTAAATTCTAATCCAAAAATAATTAAAGAAAATAAATAAGAAAATATAAATTACATAAGTTGTATGTTTATTGGATAATAGACGATGATGTGGCATGCGAAGACGAAAGATGAAGGTGAGTTGTTGCCTCATCGTTGCTCGGGATGTGCTTAGGTTGCTTGTGGCGTCAAGATCACTTGCCAAAACCTGCGGGCGCAGGTTTGGCTGTGGCCTGGCAGCAGCATCAGGTGCATTCGACTAGGCGCGGGACAGACCCGCAGGAAGACTGCATCGCTTGGATTCAAACGCCTATAACTTTTGTTCTAGGAAGCTTCTTGGAGTGTATGTCCTATCATTGGAAATCTCTTCAAGTCTAGTTTCCAACGCAATTTGAATTGCTTCGATCCGATTTGTAGAAATTGAGTTATGATCAAAAGAGTGACCAAAGGTCTGTTTTGACACTTTGCAAACCATCGTTTTTCTTCGTTTTAAACTCAAATTCATTTCCGAAAGATGCATAGCGACCCTTGTAAATGCTATTTTCATTCCTCATGCACATACTAATCAAAATCAACATCCACGAACATGGGATCTTCGATTAATAAACTCAATTCATCGCCTTTCATCCAAATATCATCCGAATCAACTCCATCCAAACACTTCGAAAGCATCCAAATGACTATGAAATCACCTGAAACATTAAGTAAAACACAAATAGAGCGTAATAGAGTACAAAGCAAACAACTTATACATTTGCAACCTAAAAAGCGACAAAAAGACCTAAAAAGCAACTATAAACTTAGCATAAACGTGTCTATAAATCCTATATAAATGTGATTCATCAGTAGTGTGTGTTGCTGCAGTGTAGGGGCGACTAGCCGGCAGGAGGAGTGGTGTGGGTTTTCCAGTGGAGAGAGGAATGAGGTTGCTGGGTTCCGGTGGCCGGTGGGGATGGGGTGGTCAGGAAAGGAGGGTGGGGCTGAGTTTTCTGAATTTTTTTTGTTTATTTTTTTTATCTTTTCTTTTAATTACTTTTTTTAATAATTAAAATAATAATTGACCTATTAATAGCTGACACGTGGCATATAACTTACAAAAATCGGTTATTAATAGGTAATGGATCTTTAGATGAAGATAAGGGGTAAAGGTTGGATTTTTGTGGAATAAACTTAAGGTTGGATTTTTTAGAGAAAAAAGTGCAAAGGTTGGATTTTTAATTTTCATTTTTCCTTTTTAATAATGCTTCCCATTATGTGAAGACAAAACTGCTCTCCTTTGAAAGACAAATTACATTTTATCCTCCTTTGATTTTCTTGCAAGAGACTTTTCTATTTTTTTAAAAAAAAAATTGAAGTTTAATATCTAATGGATGGAATACCATAATTGGTTTGATGAAAAAGAATATGTGGGATTGAAAGAGTTTTCAATAATCAGATGAATCAGATGGAATCATCCTCTTTTGGCTACAATAAATCACTAGCTTAGATGGAAGGCATTTGTTAACTCTGGATGGGTGCTTTTCAAACTCCGTATGTTTCGCTGTTAACTCCGTCTGTTAGGATTTTTGACGTCCTTTGAATTTATTACCTCATAGTTGTTAGTTATGTATTCAATTCTTTAAATTTTACATTAATATTTCGTCCAAGTAATGTATATGGACTTGCTCTAGTGCTGCGAACTCAATAGTGGTGTGGATGTAGTTGATGGCTGACCATGCATGTGGTCGGAACCATGAGAATGTCCGGCGAGAAAAAGAACGATAACGAGGAAAACATGAAAAAATAAATTTGCATAATATTTAAGCTATATGTGCATATTTTTTCAAGTAAATGTGCATAAATTTGTAACTAAATGTGCATAAATTTGTAACTAATTGTGCGGTAATTATATTTTAAAGCTCAATTTGCATATATTTTTATATAAGTGTGCATATATTTTGTTTAAAACGTGCAATTTATGAGCTAACCTCGTATTTGGTGGTAGTACAAAAAAATTTCTTTATCCCTCATCTTTCCTCTTTCCAATGTCATATTTTCTCTTATTTTTCTATAATTTGAAATATCCTAACTTGATGTATGGAAGAAAAAAATAAATAAATAAATTCTATGGAAGCTAGAGAGATGTTGTAGAGGAGGAGAAAACGTGAAAAGTTACATACTCCCTCCGTGTTTTAACAATGTTACATTTTGACTTTTTTCTCTATTCACATAATGGTTTTGACTTGATTAATTTACTATTATATAAAAGACAAATGTTATTATATAATACATTGTTGAATTCGTAATAATGTATACTTTCATAATATCAATTTTCTAATAATTTTACTAATATATAATTAGATTAATTAATGGTCAAAGTTGTGTCTCGGCATGCGTGTTTGGTCAAAATGTAACACTTATTAAAACACGGAGGAAGTATATAAAACTGGAAACTAAATGTGCAAAATTTTTAAACTAATTGATTTTTTGTACTAAATGTGCATAATTTTACACAAGTGAAATT